CTAGCACTCAGCATAAGCAATGTTACACACAAGGTTCTCAATATGTATTGAACAAATGAATGAGCTAATGGTTCTTTTTTTTAAAATTTCAAATATTTGGCTTTTTTAATATTTATTTTTTAGTGGTAGTTGAACACAATCTTTATTTTAATGTGGTGCTGAGGATCAAACCCAGGACCTCACACATCCGAGGTGAGCGCTCTACCGCTGAGCCACACCCCAGCCCTGGGCAAATGATTCTAGATTCTAAATAAAACAGATCAAAACAGGATCCAAGTTTCTTACCAGGCCTCATATTATCCACCAGTCTTAACAGCTTAGTGACTTCATTATGTTATCTTTCTTCTACAATAACTTGTTTCACTCTGAATTCTTCTCAATAGCATTCATCATACTAAGATTCCCTCCTATCTTAAAAATCAGAACTTTGGTCATTCTCCATTCCCTTTCATATTGTCACATCATTCTTTTCTTTCAATATCAAACTTCTTGAGCTATTTTCAGTTTCACTTTTGTACCTCCTCCTGGCTCCTCAAGCTCCTGCCTCTAATCTGGCCTTTGAACCTGTCCTGAACAAGATTACTAAATGATTCTTTGGTAAAATCCATCATGCAATTTTCAGACTGCTATTTGGCCACTTGACAACCATGGACGCTGCTAACCAACTTCCCATTGGAAACACGCTTTCCATGACAGCATTCTCATCTGTTTCCCTTCTGTTTCTCTGGTCACACTTTCTCAGTCTCCTTCCTCAAGTCCTCTAAATATTAGTGTGCTTCAGGATTTTGGACTTGGCTCCTTGCTTTTCTTACATATTCCTCCTGGGCAAGCTTATCTATTTTGATCACCTCAATTCCTAGCCATATGCTGATAATGACTCTCAAGAATATAATTATAATCTTAGTTTCAGCCTTGTACATCCAACGTCCTGTTGAACATTTCCCCTGGGATGTTCTACAGTATGTTAAACACAATAAGTCTAAAACCGAACTTATCATTCCCCTACCTCCAAACCTCCTGTTCTTTATTACAGAGTGGTAGCACCATCCAACCACCTGCCCTAACTTTCACTCCTTCACCTTCATCCCCAACATCCAATCAATCTCTAGGTCCTCTGAATTTTATCACATATGCATCTCTTGATTTCAACAACATTTCTGCATCCCCATGACTACACCATCTAGGTCACCCTCATGTCATATCCAGATAATTTATTAGCTTCCTAACTGGGCTTTCCACCTCTAGGATTGCTTTTCCCCAACACCTTTCCCACATGGCAACCAGAAGGATTTTTCAAAACTCTTCAATTACACTATTATCTTTACGATAAAGAGCAAACTCTTAGGCTTTATGGTGGACTACAGGTACCCCTTCACTACAGCACAACTAGATCCTGGATAAAAGCTACCTTATCCCCACCAAAAAGTTAGCAGAGTCTAGAAGAGTAGACTCAGGGAGAGGTGAGGCTATCCTCAGGGCTGACACCAATAGCAATGCTGCTGAAATACTTAGCTATGGGTCAGTGATAAGGTACAAGAGCTAATCTTAGTATTGACATACTGAAGTAGGGTCCTCGAAAGGTATGCTAAAGTGTTCTAGGCCAGAGCTGACTCCTGACTATTGACAGAAACAAACAAGGCAGCAAATCTTCTTTAGAGGGAAGCTTTTCCAATTTAACCCCATAGAATTCCTATAGATTGAAATAAAATAATGAGCTTACAGCTAAAACCCACCAAGCACATGGGAAGGCAAAGATGATGAGAGCAGTAACAATAAACAACAAATATAAATCCTCAAGGACTATAAATATAAGAACAGTCAGATGAAGAACACAGAAGAGCTATGTATTAAACATTTCAAAGGATAAAAGACATAATCAAAAGAATGTGTAAATAGCACTGACAAGAGTCAAATTTAGGGGAAAGAAAAAACTTTCAAAAATGAAAAACAGAGTTTTTGAAATAAAGAATTCAATGACTGTGTTAAATAGTACATTAGAATCAGCTGAAGAAAGAATTAGATGTTGGAAGATATATATCTGAAGAAATTATCTAGAAAGCTGAAACAAACAAGATTTAAAAAGATGACACTCAAACTAAAGAATATGAATAAAAGGAATCTGGTCGTAGAATCTCAGAAGAAGGGAACAGAGAAAACAAAAGAGACACTTTTAAAGAGATAATAGCTATAAATTTTCAACAACTGAACAGGAATCTGCAGGTCTAGGAAGTATAATATATCTAGGATAAGTACAAAGGAGTACCTGCTGTGCTAGCCAATCTACAAGATCACTCCAAATGATTCTCACCTATTATTCACACACTGTGTAGTTGCCTTTCAAACCAAGAGAATGTAAGGGAAGTGACAGTGTGTCACTTCTGATATTAGGCTATAAAAGAAACTGTCTTCTCACTTGGTTTTCTCTAGATTTCTTGTTCTCTCTTGGATAACTTGTTCTGGAGAAAGCCAGCTGCCACGCAATGAGCAGCCCTAAAGAAAAACCCACATGATGAGGAACTGAGGCTTTCTCCATGCAATCCTGTGAGGGAGTCATTTTAAAAGCAGATCCTCAAGGCCTGATCAAGCCTCAGATGATTACAGCCCCAGTCAACAGTTTGATTACAACCTCTTAAAAGACACCCTGAGCCAACACCACCCAGAGAAGCTGCTCCCAGATTGCTGACCCTCAGAAAAACTGTGTGAAATAATGTCTTAAGCAGTTAAATTATGGGTAATTTTTACACAGTGATAGCAATTGATCCATTGTTAAGACCAAACACCTGGGGCTGGGGATGTGGCTCAAGTGGTAGCACGCCCGCCTGGCATGTGTGCGGCCCAGGTTCGATCCTCAGCACCACATACAAACAAAGATGTTGTGTCTGCCGAAAAAAACTAAAATAAATAAATAAATATTTAAAAAAAAAAAAAAGACCAAACACCTTCTGCTTTACTCTTTATACTTAAGGCACTTGATTAACTTCTCTCCATCATCAGAGTGCTCATCACACTGTATGACAAAGTCTCATTAAGATATCTGTCTTTCCATTAGACTTATTCCCTTTTTGTTCCAAAAAGAAGGGAACAATACCTTTCTCCATTATTATGCAAGCATAATTCTTAGCACAAAAAATATATTCAATAAGTATTTGTTCCTTACAACCTACAGCATAGTGACAGGCAAAAAGGCTAAAAGGTGTAAAATATAAACATTCTCAAGCAATGATTCAAATGGAATCTTCATCATTCAACTGACATAACCATGAAACCCCTATATTGCAAGTTTAGGGAAGGTTTAGAAAAGGAACAAGGTTCAAAAGTTGGATGGTTTCCAGCTTCTCATAAGTCAAGCCCTCTTGAGTTTCACTATGACCCTGGAGCTAAAATCTTTGAACATCAGACATACCCACCTTTTTTTTTTTTTTAAGTACTGAGGATTGAATTCAGGGGCACTCTATTGCTAAGCTACATCCCTAAGCTTTTTTATTTTTTATCTTGAGACAGAGTCTTGCTAAGTTGCCCAGGCTGGCCTCAAACTTGTGATCCTCCTGCCTCAACATCTCAAGCAGCTGAGATTACAGGGCATGTGCCACCACACCCAGCTCAGACACACCCACTCTTGAAAGCATTCGCACAATTATACTCAAAGGCCATACAGAAATAATTTTTTTAAAATAATCTGTTCTGCATTTGTAGAACAATTCCAGTTTATCACACTGATATTTAAATCTGATCACACGTGGTGTCTAAATATGAACATGCACATACACACATGTACATATATACATGTCATAAAATATTAATCACTAGTACCCTCTACTGGTGGAAATGTCTTATCTTTTCATATGAATGGTCTTACTGCCCTCTAGTGACCACAACCTGTAAAGATAGAAAATCTAGCAGCAGATGGGAGAATCTTCTTGGCCAGAATGATACGGTTTTATGTTCTTTAAGCATCTAATTTTCTCAGATTCTGGTTTGTATTACAGGGGTGCAACTCTAAAACTCTTGGGGGACCCTCTGGGGATTTCAAAACAGCTCTTCCCAGCTGTTAGTGCCAGTCTGAAGCAGCTCTCTCTCCTGCTTCTCAGAAACAAGAGGTCAAGGGGAGGCAGACAAGGCAATGGCTGTACTCATGAGGGCAAGAGCAGCAGCTGTGAATGACTGCCCTGGACTCCCTAGGGAACTGGGAGCAGCTTGAGGAACACATGTTGGCCCTCCCTTGCATATTATCCACAGTTGCGTACTGTACTAAAATGGCAATTCAACATAGTCTCTCACTTACCTTTGATATATCTCCAAAGCTACAATAAATGACACAGTGACAAATGTTACTATAGTTTGTTGCTGTTGGTGTCTTTTTTTTTTTTAAATAGGCTTTGCAAATTATTTCTACTCAATACAGAAAAGCCAAGCTTCTTTCAAGATTTAACTAAAACCTGTCATCTCCCTTTCGAAGTTTTTTTTTTAATTCCCCGATTTAAGTGACTGTTTTGTCTTTTGTGCCAGCATATATTGCCCAGGTCAGAATGGTACCCAGAATATTATATGTTCATTTATAACTTACAGCATTTCACTGCTTCTATTTGTCTAAATGCTTGTCCCATCTAGCAAACCTTAAGTTCCTTGGGGTCACGAACCATATCTTATTCATTTTTGCACACTCAAAATGATATCTATAGATCACTGTGTTACTGGTCTATAAGGTAAGTATAGAAACTGGAAGCATTTAGAAACTTTTATAGCTATTCTATATGTGTTGGACCTAATTTTAAAAATTGGGGCTTTGTTTTGTATATTTTAATTTCATTTTCTGATAAATGTTATTATATATTACAAAAGTATTGGGTGCAACCAATGGAGAAGTTTTTAAACAATGGTCCTTATCCAGAGAGTTGGAAAAGCCCTAGTAGGACAGATAACTTAAAATTTGAAGGAAAGAGGAAAGCAGGAAGAAAGGAGACAAAAAACAAGACTTTTCATAAAATTCTGAAGGAACATACCTATCCTTGTTGATTTTAACACTTCCCTGGAGGGTATTTTCTTCTTTAATTCTCGTAAGGCCTCAACTAGATTCTCTTTGCTTTGATCAGGAAGCTCCAACATAGTTTTCCATCTTTTTATGTCTTCTACAACCACAACTCTCTGAGAAAAAGAAAAGTCATTTGGAAAATGGAACATTTTCATTAGAAAGACATCTGCCTTCACCTGAGCTAATGGGGCTCCTATTGACATATGAATTATTGATTATGACCTGAACCAAAGCACAGTGTGTCTGATGGCCCCAAATGATGGGTAATTGCTTAAAAGCAGGTCCTGCTTACTGCAAATCAGGAAGAGAGTTGCATCTATTAGGAAAAGTGCAAGTTTTAATCTTACCATGTCAGACACTACTGGGCACTTAGCTGTGAGAGGTAATAAGAAAGAGAAGAAAAGAAAAATGATGCTGAGGTGAATCAACCTTATAGATCACTTAAGAGTGTCTTAATTCACAAGCATGGACAGAGAGCAGAGGTCATAAAGGCATGTTTATTTCAACAATAAAAAGCATGCTTCAATAGTTCCCTACTTTGTAGAGGAGAAAACTCTTTCTTTTTGGAAGAATTTTTTTAAAACTTCAGGAGAGTAACTCACTACTTATAACAAAAAAAGGTTAATACTTTGCCATTCCTCATAAAATAACAAAACATTTTAAAACTTAAGTCCCTTTATACTCTTCACCAAACTCATTTCCACCCTTATATTCCCAGGAAAAAACTACCATCTTAAAGTTGATATGCATTTTTCCATTAAGTGTAAAATATTAGCAATGAAGGAATATGGGTAAAGGGAATGGGAAAGTTCTTTGTACTGTGTTCTAACTTTTCTTTAATTTTGAAAGTATTTCAACTAATAACTTTTTTAAGTACAGAGACAATTAAAAAATGAAGTTGCTTTCATAAGTGCAAAATAAAAAATCTTGTCTTGGATCATTACTACCCTGGGAAGGTGGGCAGTTAGGAATTAGAAAGGGTTATAGCTTCTGGGATCCTGGTAATGTTTCTTGATCTGAATGCTGATGTGTTCACAATGTGGAAATTTCTTAAGATGTACACTTAGGATCTGTGTACTTTGCTATATGCATTTTCAATATGGCAACTTAAATAAAAAGCAACTATCTAAAAGTCCCATCTCCCTCCCTTGGCTGGGGTCTGCTTCAAGTCTAGAAGCCATGGTGGGAGGAGGGTATGTTTGACTCCTCTATTCCCCGGCCTTGGTTTCTCCTCTTCCCCAATATGTTTATTTGCTTTGGTTCCCCATTCATCCAGGTTCAAAGCTGGGAAAAGGAAGGGAGCAAAGGAAAAGTTTTACTTTGTTGTGATACTATGCTAATCAGGTTTTAGTGCTCTTTGAATTGGCAGATATTTGAAGCTGACTCTTTCTTTTTCTCTCAGGGTGGCTTTTGTAGTTCCTTGGAGAGCTCCCATTGCTGAGATCTCACTTTTGGTACCCATAATGTGGGCACTGCTTCTTCCAGCCAGCCACTTACAAGTCCTCCCTTAAGTTCCCAGTTTTTGGCAACCCACTTCACACAGACTCTCTCTGTAGGGGTCCAAGGATTCTTGTAAACCCAGCCACTTTAATTCTATTCTATGCCAGCCAGCATTTTCTCCCATGATTGCCCACATCTTTGTCCTAAAAGTTTCCAAGAGTATCAGCCTTCCCCAGTCGCTTCTCTCTCTGGCATTAGTCACTCCATCTTTGGATTTTCTCAGGCACAGGTCTAATTTCTGAGTCTACCAACTCCTTGAAGCCCAGTTCTCCAAGTGAAACTGCTACAGTACTCTCACTTCATCGGAAGGAATTCTCTCTTCCTTCTTATTTAACTTCAACTTTCTTTAGAGCCTCTGGTGGGTAATGGGTTCAGGATTCAAAAACTGGTCAAACGTTTCTGTCTTCCCAAGTTCTGCATGGATGGTCCAAAATCTCATTTGAGAACACCATTTGCTACCTATTACTTTGTTCTCAGCCTTTAGGGTCCTTGGTCAAAGTTGAAAAAAATCCCTTTCTATAATCTCTATAATATAAAACAGTATAATTATTGTTAAGTGACATGAAAAATAAATAAAGGAAAAGGAGAAAATATTAGGCTTTGAAAAAAAATTTTTAGTTGTAAATGGACACAATACCTTTATTTATTTATTTTTATATGGTGCTGAGGATCGAACCCAGTGCCTCACGTGTGCTAGTCAAGCACTCTACCACTGACCTACAACCACTGCCCCAACATCAGGCATTTTTAACTCAACAAATTTTCTTGATTTATTGATACTGATATATACAATCCCAATTGATCCATTTTAATATCAGATGGTATTCCATTATTTTTCATACAAATGACTGGAATTTTAAAATCTATTCCCCTAATGGATATTTAGGATTTCTTTCCCTGTATTTTTTCTGTTACAAACATTGCTTCAATGAACTCCTGCCTGTAACAGCTTTTTGTATGTGTTCCACCCATTTACTTTCCACTTTTCAGGGTCAATATACTTTAAATAGCCTAAAGCTACTTTATTTTGCTCCCTCACAAAGAAAAATGTGTTTATAAATATTTTATTAAAAGATAGATATTATTGCTATCCAATCAATGATCTCTACCTTTTAATATGGATGTTTAGTCCATTTGTATTTATTATGATTACTGATTAACAATTAGGCATCACTTACTCTTCTATGTAATGGACCAAGTTTAGTTTTGTTTTTTTCTTTATGGTTTGGAAGTTAGACACCATATTTCTTTCATTTTAGTGTTTACTTCTATCATTTTAAAGATGTTTATTCAACAAAATCTATACATCTTCTTCCCAAAAGCCTTTATTTCAAAAACTCTTATTAATATCTCATTTTCTTTCATGTTTGTATCTCTTTATTTCTTTGTAATGCAGATAGATCTAACTTCCAATTCACCAATTCTCTCTTTAACTATGGTTTGTCTACTTTTAAACACAGAACAATGTTTCTTCTCCAACAAATATATTTTTTCATTGAACAAGTTCTGTTCTTTCCTCCAAACTTGCCTGTGTTCTTTTCATACTATCCTGTTCTTATGATTTCTATTCATGTCCTTATTCCCACTTCCATGAACATTCTAAACATATTTCAATTAAAATCTCTTTTAGATTGTTCTCTTACCTCCACTTCTAGAGATAGAGAATCTATAAAGCTTATAATTTTTTGACTTTGAGTTCATTTTTTAAAGGGGATTATTTTCCATGGACATTCTGTATATCCTAGGACGTGAAGTACTTAACAGGGAAATCTCTCATTTGCCCCTGCCAAGGACCTTAGATTCTCCTGGTACTAGACCAGATTTTACGTGAATTTCTTTCAGCTTTGCAGACAGTGTGAACTTAAAACTATATATATATATTCATGCACAGCAGTAAGTGTGTGATTCTAATGTATTATATAGTCAACTCTTTTTCCATCTAAGACCTGGAGAAAAGATTATAGTCTTCATGCTGTTTTCTTGGACTAATAGATGAATTTTTGTTTTTGTTTTTTTAACTTCCGGCCCTGTTTTCTTTTTTAACTTTATTTACTTATTTTTATGTGGTGCTGAGGATTGAACCCAGTGCTTCACATGTGCTAGGCAAGCGCTGTACCACTGAGCCACAACCCCAACCCAGTGGATAGAATTTTTCTAGCTCATTTTGCACAAAAATGGCAGCCCTGCCATTTTTTCATGTGAAGGGTCAGTTCCAGCTCCTATCATATTAGCCTGTGGCCTTATCTCCTGGCCCCTCTTACAACTCCAGTGCCTAAGCATTGCATCTGATTTCAATATTCACTGGAAATATTTAGCTTCAGCTCCCAATCACAGCTTTGGGTGTTAATTTCTTCTCTCTTCCTTGCACATCAGAAATGATTTCCCTTTCTTGTTTTTTTTTTTTCTTAGTTATAGTTGGACACAATACCTTTATTTGCACACACTAGGCGAGCGCTCTACTGCTGAGACACAACCCCAGCCCCTTCCCTTTCTTGTGTTCAAATTTAGCTCTGTGTTGGAGTTTTGTTTTATTTTGTTTTTGGTACAAGGGTTTGAACCCAGGGGTGCTTACTGAGTCACATCCCCAGCCCTTTTTTGTATTTTATTTAGAGACAAGGTCTCATTGTGTTGCTTAGGGCCTTGCTAAGTTGCTGAGGCTGGCTTTGAATTCATGATCCTCCTGCTTCATCCTCCCAAGCCACAGAGATTACAGGCAATGCACCATTGCACCTGGCTCCTGGAGATTTTTTTTTTTTTTTAAATATATAGCATTTCTACATGGTTAGAATTGGGTTAGGAGTTCCTGTCAGATCATTTCACCATATGAAACTATAGAAGTCCAAACTCTTTAGCATGATAAAAAAGGCCTCCCATAACCTGGCTCCTGATATTCTTTTTGGTCTTATCATTACCTTCAGATACATCAAATTATTGGCAGCTACCTAAATGAATCACAGTATTTCACACTGTTAACCTAGGGATGCTCTTTCTTTGCCTGATAAGAAAAATCTACTTACTTCTTAAGACTCTCCTCAAGTATCATCTCTTCTATGAAGCTTTACTTGCCTCTCTCCTACCACATTTGACCACATTTTCCTTTAGGTCTCATTGTAAACTGTATAGATTCCAATTACCAAATCCATGGTTTCTGCATACATTGCTCAATGAGACTGTCTTCTCCACTAGACTACGAATAACTCCAGGGCAGCAACAATATGTTATTTATTTCTCTATCCTCAGTGCACAGTAAATATAACTGCACAAAATTATGTACTGTGTTTCAGATCTGAAATTTTAGGAAGAAATGGTAGAAAAAGTCAGTTTTCAGAGCAAAAGAATTCTATATATGTTGAGAAAATGTTTCCTTGTATCTGTGTAAATATGAGACTGAAAATTCTTACCTGAATTATTTAGGATACAAAAGGACATGGAAACTTGGGACAAAAACTATCATTGGGGAAGCTGCAATGAGTAGTGGAAAGTTATGCCAGAAAGAAGATAACGCTCTCCATCTGGTCTTTATAGTTAGGGATGGGTGTAATATGAGGTGTAACAAAAGCAGTAGGGTAAATGATTTACTCATAAGCAGTAACTTGGGCACTGGTGGGGGCAGCAGACAACATATTGGTTAGTCAGTCCTACAAAGGAAAGAAAGGTTCATAGAACATTCTGAAATGCTAAAACTGCCCACCCAACCCCCGCAAAAAAAAAAAAAAAAAAAAAAGCATATTCTAGGAACTTTCAATTTTAAAAAATTCTGCTATTGAAATCAACAGAAATCATTTCTCCTTAAGGGACTAATAAGAGATTAACCAAATTAACCTTCACCATTTAAATGAACACTACATGAGTTCTATTGAGTATCACTTTTATTGAATATGATAAGGCTACAGCAAAATTACTTGCAGTATACTGATAACAGAAGTACAATGATCCTAATATCTCAAGATTTTTATACTTCCTCAGCTTGGCATTCAGAAATCTGCCTTTGTTTTTTTTTTTTTTAAGTTTACCCTACGGGGGCACACTATGGATCTAGATTATCTAGTTCAAACCCCAGCTCTGCCACTAACAGATGCATGACCTTAGGCAAGCTACTTAATCTCTTTGTGCTGTATATTCTTCAACTGCAAAATGTAAATGATAAAAGCATACATTTCAATCTGGGTTGTGGCTCAGAGGTAGAGTACTTGCCTAGCATGCATGAGGCACTGGGTTTAATCCTCAGCACCACATAAAAATAAAATAAAGGTACTGGGCCGACCTACAACTGAAAAATAAATGTCTTTTTTTTTTTAAAGCATACATTTCACAGAACTGTTACTAAGACTTTTAATATATGTAAAGCACCAGTACAATACTTGGCTCATAGAAATGGGCTCAATTACTGTTAGTCTTTATAGTTAGGGATGGGTGTAATATGAGGTGTGACAAAAGCAGTAGGGCAAATGATTTACTCATAAGCAATAACTTGGGCACTGGTGGGGGCAGCAGACAACATATTGGTTAGTCAGTCCTACAAAGGAAAGAAAGGTTCATAGAACCTTCAGCTCTTTACAAAAGTTGCTCCTATTTCATTCGTAAGAAGAGCAAACAATTAGTTTCTACTAATAGACAGCACAATGCTCAGTCCTATGAACATGCATTTAGTTAGTCCTCACAGTGATTCTGCAGGTTAGGTACTATTAGGTGTTATCCTTATGTGATTGATGAGGAAACCAAAAACTTCAATATTCAGTAAATTCCTGGAATTAAAACATGATGCTGGTGTGTGGGAATAAGTCCCTCAGCCGAGAGTGGACCTAGCTAACAGTCTAGAATTCAGTTAGCTCACCTTGCCTTCAATTTGCCATTCTACACACCTGAAAGTAAGCACCATGCATTTATAAAAGAAACAACAGCAAGCTGTTGTGGTGCATGCTTGTAATCCCAACTACTTAGGAGGCTGAGGCAGGAAGATTGCAAGCTTAAGGCCAGCCTGGACAACTCTGTGAAACCCTGGGGGCTGGGGATGCAGCTCAGTGGTGGAGTGCTTGCCTAGCATGTGCAGGACCTGGGTTCAATCCCTAGTACTGAAGAAAGAAAGAAAACAGCAACTGCTACTTGTGGAACAGTTACATGCCAATACTTCCACCTTCCTGTCCCTTTAAGAGGTCCTATCACATAGCCTTCTCTGACCACTAAAACAGACACTGCAATGTTTTCATTCTTAACAAGTCCTGTGCTAAGGTACTAAGGACACAAAATTATTATACTTCCTCAGCTCGAGATTCAGAAATATTTCTCTCTCTCTCTCTCTCTCTCTCTCTCTCTCTCTCTCTCTCTCTTTCGCAAAGTTTAACCTACAGGGAAAATACTATGGATACAGTTATCTAGGAGAAGCTCAGGGCATAGCATGGGACACGTCTAATTAGATTGGCTCTGTATCTGGGGGAGAGAAGGGTAGTCAGGAAAGGCCTCAAAGTAGAGAAAACTCTTAAACTACGTCATAAGGGATGAATAGGACTTCATTAAGTAATGATAATAACAATAACAGCAAACACTTGCACAGTACTTAGTATGTGCCAGACTCTGTTCCAAACACTTTATATATACGGACTTACTCGAATCTCACAGTATCTTATAAAATAGGCATTAATCCCTAGACGAGGACACAAAGACATTAAATAACTTACCCAAGGTCACAAAGGCAGAACTGGGATTTTAACACAAATATTTTGGCTAATGGGGCTGGGATTATGGCTCAGTGGTAGAGTACTTGCCTAGCATGCATGAGGCACTGAGTTCGATCCTCAGCTCCACATAAACGTAAAATAAGGATATTGTGTCCACCTAAAACTAAGAAATAAAATAAATATTTAAAAAATTTTGGCTCAAGAGTCTGTGTTTTTTTGCTTATTTGTTTTCTTGGTACTGGGGATTGAACCCAAGGTTGCTTTACCACTAAGCTACCTCCCTAGTCCCTCTTTTTTTTTTTTTTAACTTTATATTTTGAAATAGGGTCTCGCTCAGTTGCTTCATGCCTTGCCAAGTTGCTGAGGGTGGCCTCGAATTGTGATCCTCCTGTTTTAGCCTGCTGAGTTTTGGGGATTACAGGTATGTGGCATCATGCCTGGCAAAAGTCTGTGTTCCTAATTACTACACTATATTGCCTCTAAGACAATGAAGTAAGGCATTTCAGGAAAACAGGATAATATAGTGTATTTGCAAAGGTACAGAGGTATAAAAGAGCATGTCATCTTTGGAACTGTGAGAGGCTGACAACGAACAGAGTGTAAATAATGAGTAGGGGCTAGGGATGGTGTCATATGATTAGAATCCCAGGGGCCCAAGAGGTTGAGGCAGGAAGATTGCAACTTTGAGGCTAGTCTGTTCAACTTAGAGAGACCCTGTTTTGAAATAACAAATAAAAAGGGTTGGGGCTATAGCTCAGTAGTAGAGCACCCCTGGGTACTAGAAAAAAACAAAAAGTGTGTGTAGGTAAGCATACATGTAGTTTAATTACCACTACCACCCATTTTCCTCTAGAGGGTCTGACATCATGAGCCTTCCTTTAGTTGTTATTAATATTCTGATGAAACGAGATAACTGAAAACTTGATTATGTTCCATGAAGTCATAGAACTACAAAAGTAGAAGAGACTTTAAAGCTCATCTAGAGTTCAGCAGGTCTCAACCACCTGCTGCTTGGAAATATGTTAGATAGGGTATTTGTGGTCTTCACACTGGGAGGTCCTATTTGTGTTTAATGCTTCAGAGGCAGGAATGCTAAACATCCTATAACTCATAACTCATAGGTAGTTTCAAGTAATGAAGATTATCTTGCCCCAAACAACAACTGTGCCCCTTGAATAAACACCAATAGTGTTCAACCTCCCCATTTTGTAGATAAGGGATCTGAGGTCTTAGAGAAGGGACTGACTTGCTAAAGATCACCCAGATGTACAGCAGGGCCTCAGACCCAATGCTTCTGTCTATGTCCCCTTCACTGCTTTCTTATGGGTCTGGGAAGCTTGTGAGACATATAGAAAAGGAGTCCAACTAAGTATCTGAGTCAAGCCCTCAAATTGCTGCTTTGTTGTCATAGTTCTTTGTATGCTGTCTCTAAACCCAAATCCCCCTCTCCCTTTCAAAGAGACACAGACTGGAAGTTCAGGTTTGGTAGTTATCTGCATAGAAAATTTTGAGATAGATTAGAGCCACCCTGGCCAAATAACATAAAATGTGACAGAACTCTGAGAGCAAAAACATTAGGAATCTAGTGGAGGAACAGAACCTACAAAGGAAATGAAAATGAAAAAGTCAAATGCAGGCGTAGGCTCAAGATGACAAAAGGAGCTAACAGCAAGCTGTTTTGTTTTTAGTGAAATAATAATCACTTTAGTATTTATTAAATACCTATGTTCATTGGATTTTTGTATATATTCCTTGACTATTCCTTGATAATATAAATAAAACTGAGTTCCAGGTAGCAAAGCCCATTAAAAGTCTCTCAGGCCAAGCTACAGCTGTGGAGGCCATGTGATATAGTTGTGGCAGGTAAATTATGACAGTACTCTAAGCACTGTCAGTCACTCCTTAGTAAGTCTGGACAGGGCACATAGAATTATATTTGGTGGTTTAACATTCCTGAGCAGAAATTTTTCCAAAAGAAAAACAACAACAAACAAACATACAAAATACAAGGGGGCTTGTCCTACCTGCTAGAAGACATATCTAAAAGCCAGAATAATTAGAAGAATGTAGCAGGGATGTGGGAATCAATAAACAGAAATGCGATAGCATACTGGGGAAACAGCAATGGAATAGTCATATAAACTTTGTGGAAGGGCATAGCAAAAAATGATTCATGGGAATCCCAGGATAGACCTCTTTGGAACTGTCTGCTGTCGCAGTATTTGCACATTTGCTCTAGTCTCAGATCCCCTCTCACCTTCAGAGACTCAATCGTGGCCTGCTTGTAAATCTTTCCTCCAGGATCTTTCTTTTGTGGGCTATTCTGGATTCTAGGCGTTCGAATGACGAATTTATCCATCGTTAGGGGATTCCAACTACCTTCTTGTGCTCACAGCGTTTTCTGCTTAAGAAAGAGAGCAGATTGTAAAACTTCATCAAGGCTGCCATGATGTGTGTGTTCCCCAAAGTAAAACGACTGGGTTTTCTGGAAGCACTCCTGAATCGTGGTGATTCTTGGACGGTATTAACAGGAAGTAAGAGTTCTTGGGGGCGGGGGAGGGACTCTGCCTAAGACCTGAAACTATACAGAAAGTCTACTTCCTGGGTTAGGAGGGTCCTAGCTTCCAGAAGCGCAGGCAGTAGAGGGGATCCCGATCTCGGGGCAAGCGGCCTGAAACTATCTTCCAACTTAGGAAGGTCGTGGCAGGGTTAGGGTCAGGGTTGTTAAACAACTACCCCACCGCAGCCCCGATCCCAAAGGTTGACTTAGTGACCAGCAACGACCTCCTCTAGGCCTGGCAGGGTCCTCACAGTAAGCAGCCATCTCCAGGAAGGACTGATCAATGGTCAGAGGAGTCCAACCACGACTGTCAGGCTCCGGACCCCGAGGGAGGAAAGGAACCACCCTCTCTGCCCCTACCCCGCACTCAGGAGCGCGGGAAAGGACACCCACCACGAAAAGCAGCCCTGACAGCACCTGCGCCTCCAAAGAGCGCCCAGCGAAAACCCCGCCAGCCGCGAGCGTCGGAGCTATAAGCTCGCTCGCCTGCTCAGCCGCCCAGTCCCCTGAAGGCTGCGAACCACACTCCCCAGAATGCACCGCGAGGGGCGGGCGGGGCGCCCAGGGCGGTAGCCGTCCCCGGGAGCCGCTCCCCTCCGGCACGCCGCCCGACACCGCGAAGAACTACAAGCCCCAGCCTGCCCCGCGAGGGGCGGAGCCGGCGCCGCTCCGCGCCGAAAATCGCGATGCTTGGGCCCACCTCCCCACGCCGGCCTAGAGGTTCCTAATCCCGGAGGTGGGGCCCGCGGCGGCAATTTCGGGTAGGCTCAGGCGGAGCCGAGGCCGCGGCTGAGGCGGAAGCTGCGGCCGGCGGGGCGGGAAAGGGGCTGGCCCGGAAGGAGGAGAAACCCTGAAAAGAAAACAGCAACAAGAGGAGCTGCTCTGACAGAGGGGAACAAAATGGCGGCGCCGAAGGCGAGCCTCTGGGTTCGGGCTCAACTGGGGCTCCCGCCGCTGCTGCTGCTGACCATGGCCCTGGCCGGAGGTTCCGGGACCGCTGCGGCTGAAGCGTTTGACTCGGTCTTGGGTGATACGGCGTCCTGCCACCGGGCCTGCCAGTTGACCTACCCCTTGCACACCTACCCCAAGGTAGGGCCCGTCCAAACCGGGCTTCCACCTTTCCCAGGCCTCCCATCTCGGCTCCCCACACCAGTGTCGGCTCTGGGACCCTGGCGGTGAATCCGCCCTAGAGCCGCGATCTGCCCCTGTAGCCCCTGTTTTCCTCCTTAACCCCGCCTGCACCCCGTTCCTGCTTTTCATTACCGGAAGTTTGTGCTGCACTACTCGGTGATAGGCTGGGGGCCCCCACGCTGAGAAGGAACCGGTCGCTTTCCTGTGGGTGCTTGACAAGCGGCAGCAGAGTCGAACACTGGCGAGAAGGAGGATGCGGGTGATGACTGCGGGTCCTCGCCTGCAAGGAGCGCAAGGGGGGTGGGGAGGGAGGCGCCGATGCACGAGTCCGCGGAAGACTGACACCCATGTTTATTGAGCGCCTCTGTGGTTCGGGAGTGCAGAGTGGGGAGTCGGACAAGTAGACAATTTATTTCACTATAGTCTGAAAAGTGTTAAGCAGCCCCAGGAGTCGTGAGACGTCCAGAAAGGGCTTCCGCCTGTGTTGGCATGTTGCCCATAAGACCTGGAATGTCTTAGAGAAGCACCAGTTAGGTTTCTGCCTTCGAAAACAAAAACCAACAAACTACTCAGTGTGCGGAAGATGGAATCTGTTGGGTGGTAAAGATTAGACTGTCCTCAGAAGGGTGTTCACAGTTTAAGAGAGGGCCACCCTACTCGCACTTCCTGCCCCCTGCCCCATGTCCTTAGCCCCTAGCTCCTAGCTGCTGCCTTTCCTTTAATTTCATCCCACTTCTCAAATTGTTTTTCGGCCTCTTAAGAAGTCTGTTTACTCAGCATTCTAAATTGCTTGACAACTCTCCCCACACCTTCCCCATATATAATTTGGGTATATTCTCCCCCACACTTTACTTTATAAGTGCTTTTGCTGATGTTGCTGGGCTCTCTTTTCCCTCGTTTTCCCTTCATCTCTTGAATGCTATTTGCTTAACCGATGTGGCTTGTCTTCTTTGCACTCTTCAACTACAGAGTGGCTATGAAGACAATTCCAGTGACATTTACGATGTTCCATATTGGGAAGTGTTTTCAGGTCTTTGAAAAAGTCCCAAATGCTGTTACTTTCTGTACTTTGTTTACTTAATTGCATGAGGATTATCAATTTTTAAAAAAGCATAGAAGATGAGATTATTCTAAAACGTTCAGAGTGCAAGATATTAATTGAGAGAAATGAGAAATTAAGACTTCCAGACTTAAGTCAATGAATACTGCCCCTAACTACACTATTATCTTCTTACAAACAAATTTCACATCATTAAGAGGCTACTAAGAAGAAACTCATTAATATTGATTTGGCCTAGAATTAGGTCAAGACTTACTTTGTATTGTTCTAATGTTTGTTTTCTTTTTTGAGATTTTCCTAGCAAATATGTAGTATGGGGCAGAATGCTGGGAAAATAAATAATTTGAAAGGATATACATACTGGGAACCTTTCCGTTTTTTAAATAGCCACTGTTTTCTAACAGTTAGTGTTTTATTGATAAGTCATGTTTATTCATTCATTAAAGAATTCTTACCAGGAACCCTAAATCTTATGGCTCCCTAAATATCCTGGACTTAAAATTTATTGACTCTCTACTATCTGTTAACCTGTATGATGGGGAATTTATGTTATTGTATTCTCTAATTCTCAAAACAGTCCTGCAAAGTAGTGTTTGACAAGTAGTGTTTTAAAATTAAAACTAGGAAAGGTTAAGTGACTTACCGAAGGTCCTATGACAGAGAAGTAGTGGAATAAGAATTCAGTCATCAAACTGTTGCCCTGTGCTGTCACCTATTAATAAAATTGCATTACAAGTATATAATGTATTTATTTCACTGATTTCTATTGGCCTTTCAGCAAATTATAATGCTTTGCCATTCAAGAAAAAGCGGTGTGTGTTATAAGAAATTAGATGAATTTATAAGCTCACATAGCCTCTTCTGGTCTGATACTTTTAACTGGCACATACAAGAGCTTAATAAATGCAACTAGAACTGAGGTCCAAAAACCTTTGAGGTTTAATAATAAAACTTATTTGATACTAGATCTGCAGCCATCTCTTATGTATTGTTCTGCTGCATTAATTTTACTAATTCTTCTGCTGGAAAGAAATGCATACCATTGTATTCCATTAGTTGCTAACTGGTATATGCACATGCTGTTTCCTTATTAGGTGCCTGCCAGTTTGTACACAGTGGACCACACAGTAAGTTGAAGGGGCTTCCCTGTATGCACTAGTCTGTTTTGAAAACTATATGTATTTATCATAGAAAAAAAACCTGTTGAAAACACTGTTGTTAGTATTATTAAGCAATTACTATTTTTCAGTAATGAAGAACCATACGTCCATCCTATTTTGAGCTCCCACACGTGTACAGTGATACTTGTAATTATTGTTTCTTATTTTTAAAATCTATTATATTTAATATTACCATTTGTTAAGTACGCTCTATGTCTCAGGCACTGTGCTAGGAATAGCTGTCTTCTAGAATTATTGAGGAGTTTGGAGATAATAGCTATTGTCTCCTTTTGTAATGAGAAAGCTGAGATTTTGACAGGTAAAGTAACTTGTGCTGTTACTTCCTTAAATGGTTTGATTTAGGTCCAACTATTGCAGTAGCTTTTTCTGTATGTCACTCTGCTCTTGTTTGTGTTTGCAGTTAAAGTAAGTCAAACTTAAGCAATTCTTTTACATAGCATTTTTATACATGTATACCTCACTTTATTGATAGGCCTTTGTGACCCATTTGCCCCCTGAAGCTAGTCACTATAATCCTAAGATTTAAACACCATGTGGCAGAAGCACACCTTTGGTCATAGGGTACTGCTTACTTCTTTCTCTCTTTGTTAGGTTTCTGATTATGTCACTGTCATTTTTATTTTCAATTTTTTTCCCCACAAATTGTGACCACAGAATATGGGAAAAGGATGATAGTTTTAGCTACTAGATGTTTTTCTTGGTATCCCTTTTAAAATTAAGAATTAAACTTCTTTATGTTGTACAAATGTTGGGTGTTACTTCGCTCCTTTCATTTTTTTTTTCTTTCAGTTATAAAAGTCATTGGATGGTTTAAAATAAATCCTACTAACTTTACTTTCTTCTTGACCTTTTTTTACCTGAGAAAAAAAATCTTACTTTTTGGTAATCCTCCCTGTTCTTGATCTCCCTAGGAAGAGGAGTTGTATGCTTGTCAAAGAGGTTGCAGGCTGTTTTCAATTTGTCAGTTTGTGGATGATGGAATTGATTTAAATCGGACCAAATTGGAATGTGAATCTGGTAAGAAGCTATATAGAACATTGGTGTTTTCTTTGAGTTGTGTTATGTTTTTATGCATTTTCCTTAGAAAATGACATACTGTTTAAACTGGTCATCCAACATATTGTAGTTATTATGAATTTAGAGTTTTTAGGGTGTTTCTAGAAATTTCATGGGCTTTAAATTTCATCTGTTTGTTGAGACATTATTTATTTTGTACTATGGATCGAACACCTTTGTTTAAATATTCTGTTTAGACAAATGCAGCAGTAATTACTCTACCTGTAATTCATCATTACCTTTTCAGAGGTAGTATAATTTTCCTAAGCCTTTGAATCACAGGTTGGTTGACTTAACTTGAAGGCTTTTACTGAATCTGGCTTTTTTTAAAAAAAAATTTATTAGTTACTGACGGACCTTTATTCATTTGTTTATATGTGGTGCTAAGAATTGAACCCAGTGCCTCACACATGCTAGGCAAATGCACTACCACTTGAGCCACAACCCCAGCCCCTGAGTCAGGCTTCTGACTCAGTATTTAATAGTATATTCTTTGTTGGTCATGCTAGTGCTAGTAAAAGAAGTAACCAGAGGCTTTGTTACCAGTTGAATCACTGTTCTTTCCTTTTGCTAGAAGAGTTGTTTTTAATAAAATAAATCTATAGGGGCTCTCAGCACCACATAAAAATAAGTAAATAAAATAAAGGTATTGTGTCCAACTAAAATTAAAAAATAAATATTTTTTAAAAAATAAAAATAAATAAATAAAATAAATCTATAATCAGGGCTCAGTGGACATTTATAAATAAGTGTAATGGAATTTCCCTAATCAGTACAGTTTATTCAGTGTAGAATATCACCTATCACCACACCAAGGCTCATATCCAGTCTTCTGTATTGTAAACTCATTTTTATGGCTCAGTCTTCTAATTGGCCATCTTTATATTTGCTTAATGCTGTTCAGCTTAATATCTAGCACCTCTGAGTTTACAAATTCATGACTGAATTGAGAAGAAAAACACAATTATTATATTGATGAAATGTTGTATCACAAGAAAAAAATGGCTTCAATGAACAAAATGGAGAGAATATGTCTGGTAAAGGGCCAGTTTAATTTTAGAGTCACCTACTAGACAACATTTCCTAGTTCAGTTTTCTTAGAATTTAGGGCGTTAAACTAATTGATTTATTTTATTTTTCCCTTGCCATTCTGATACCCTTGTTTCTCAACTAAGTGATCCGTTTATTAACAGTAATCTCAAATACTTATATAAATCACTTATTATTTCATCAACCTGAGGTAGGCAGTGGTATTTCTATTTTAGATTTTTAGAAATCAATGATCAGAGGTTAAACACCTCATTTTGTTACAACAAATGATGGAACTAAGACTTTGAATGACATCCTCAGGACACCAGTTCATGCTTTTCCCCTATATGATTGCCATCATATAGCCAGAACCTGGATGTATAATTAATAGATTATTACATGAAACATTTGACTTGTGGAAGGGAGATAATATGGAGTTCTATTAAAATATTACATTTCCTACTATTATCAAATTTGGAAATTCATGTTGATGAAATACTTATTTAGGTATAAGAAATTTCTTTATAAAATGCCAAATCCTTTTTTTTTCTCTTCCTATCCATTCTCTTTTCATCCCCTGTCTCTTTTTAAATTTGACTGTTTTTCTCTTTCAGCATGTACAGAAGCATATTCCCAATCTGATGAGCAATATGCTTGCCATCTTGGTTGCCAGAATCAGCTGCCATTTGCTGAATTGAGACAAGAACAAGTATGAAACCATATTGCCTTTCAAAATTGCCTGCTCCATAGTTCTGACTTGTATTGGTTGAAGTGCTTATTACCCACTTGATCCTATTTTAAGTATTGTATTTTACATTTAGTTTTCATCAAACAAATTATATTTACAAATGGAAGTCAGTTGAATGACTTCTAAACAATGCTTTTCTGTTAAAAATTACATTTACTTCTATATTTTCATTTTGTTTCTTATGTTCGGTAGAGATATCCAATTTTACATGTGAAAAAACTGAGCATAAGAGAAATTAGTATCTGAGTCCTTTTTTTGCATCCCAGTTGCCATTACCTTAAGTCAGCTAATCATTGTTTTATATCAATATTGGCTAAATTATTTTTCACAGTTTTTCCACTTTAACCGGGTCTAGATATTTGTTTTTTCTAAATGCAAATATTATGTCATTCTCCTGTCTTACATAATTCAGTAGTTCCCAAATACATATAGGTATAATTTCAAATGATTATCACAGCCTAGCTCCTGATTACTTCTCCAGTGTCATCTCTTAAAGTTCCCTACTCCTCATACTCTATACTCCAAACATACTAGAGGAATAGTTCTTAATTTTATTAATTTTTACATAGGAAATATATGTTGCTATTCTTCTACTCCCCATTTGTGAAAAGTTTTCTGTGTCAAGCACTCAATTTTCCTCCATTTTGTAGGCAAGGTTATCAGTATGGAGGAATTTTATGCATGTAAAGGAATATACATATTTACGTAGATACAAGTATAAATGAAGAGCTTGTACTCATTTTTCCACTATATAATATTCCATATAGGTGTATCATTTATGTAAGCAATCCCTTATTTGTAAATGTGGGGGTTTTTTTTAAATCTTTTTATTTTATAAATGATATTCTATATTGTGCACATTTGTGAATATACCTATAGACTAAAACCATAGGTATAGAATTACTGAGTTAAGAGGTATGTGCATTTTTAATTTTGAGAAAAAGAGCAACATATTATGAAAAATCTACCCTTTAAAGTGTATAATTCAGTGATATTTAATATATTCACAAAGTTGTACAAACATCATCATCATCTAATTCCAAAATATTTCATTACTCTCAAAAGAAATCTCATACCCATTAGCAGTCACTCTCCTTCTGTCCTCTCCCCAACCCTTGGCAATCTATTGTAGTTTTAATTTGTATTTCTCTTAACCAACGTTAAGCATATTTTTAACTGTTTAAGAGCCATTAAACATTTCAAGTGTTTTAAGTTCCTTTTCTGCTTATTGTGTACATACTAAACAGTTCTCAAGTTATGACATGCTATTTCATGTCTGTTCCTTCTACTTCCCATGTGCCTGGTGAATCCTTGACTGTAGACAATGTCATTTCTTTACGAAACCTTTTTATCTACCCCTCACCCCAGTTGTGTATGTATATATACTCACTGTTTATACATACAAACTACCCCTCTCACTGTATGTACGTATCAACCTGTGTTGAAACTCTGTTTTATATAGATTATACAGATAAAACATAGATATTCATTGATGATTAAAACCACACATGATCCCCAGTCTGTTTGAATTTATAACCTCAATAAAATGCTTATTCAGTGAATCATTGAAAGAGTTCTCAACTATTAAATGGGAAAATTGGATCCTGAATATAGATCTTCTGATTCTAAAAAACTGTTCTAAATATCCCATAATGCCTTAGTGTTATTTCACACTAAGGAGCCCAGTGCTGCTAAATAAGTCAGAATTAGATAGGAGGTGATACCAATTATGTTAAATCTATCAGTAGCACCTACTACATATACTTAACCCTAAAATAATCTCCTCACCCTATTCTATTACCAGATTCTCACATGTTATGCATATATTCTTTTAGTTGATTTTTTCCTTATTTTTATTAATGTTCGTAATAGCATGATTTATTCTACATGAAAGCATTAAAGATGAGAATGGTATGATTTGTCCCCTCTCATTCTACCTCTGAAGACCTTATTAGTCTGTATTTAATCAAATCTTAAAAGTCAATATTTTTGAATCTGACTCAAAAGCCTGCTATTGTGTTAGAGGGGACAAGTAGCTTATGTGTTTGGTGCAATTAAAGAAGCCTGGAATTTTAGGCTTTGCCATTAATTAATTTGCATAGGTATCTAAAAGTTTAATGCTAATGATTATGGTGAAATCGTGTAATTATTTATTCCATATCCCAGTAAGGATTTGAGGAATCTTGAACATACATATATAATGTATTTCTCATTATTTAAATTTTTTGTTTGTTTAGCTCATGTCCCTGATGCCAAAAATGCATCTCTTGTTCCCTCTAACTCTCGTGAGGTCATTCTGGAGTGACGTGATGGACTCTGCACAGAGCTTCATAACCTCTTCATGGACTTTTTATCTTCAAGCTGATGATGGAAAAATAGTTATATTCCAGGTAACAACCATGTTTCATAGATTCATCTAAATAACAACAGTAAATGTATTGTTCTTAAAGAATGTCTTGGCATATAACCATATACTCAGTCACTTACAAATACATGTGATCAAATAATACTTATTTGGCCTTCATAAAAATAGGGGACATGAGAACACTGTGTAATTTGCCCTTTCTTGTGCTCCTAGAAGCCCTATCTAAAGCCTTTTTGTTCTTATCTAATTGGAACTTTGAGTCATCTAAAATTTTTGGTAGTTAAATTGATAAAATTGAAATCTTTAGATATTGGAAATAAGAATAATTAATATATTTTGCATGTAAACAGTGGCAGATAGCATACAGATATTAGAGGAAAGTAATATGACATAATATTTAGTTGTTTATAATTAAAAATATGCTTTTTCTCATAATTCTTTTAAGAGAACTTGTGGGAAAACATTTTTCTTATTAGAGATAACTTTTCCTCTCATGTACCATGTGATTTGATAATAGCTGCTGTTCCTAGAAAATTCAGTTACACTAGGCATTTTATATATGCAGTTATCCCTGAGTTAACTATGGGGGATTTGTTTATTCCTGAGTTGTCTATGAGGGATTTGTTCCAGTAACTTCTGTGGATACTAAAATTTTAAGATGCTCTAGACCTTTATATAAAATGGTGCAGTATTTGCATGTAGCCTACACAACCCTCTCATGTACTTAATAATGTGTCATGTGTCACTTAATAATGGGACACAGTCTGAAAAATACATGATCAGGCAAGTTCTTTGTTGTGGAAACCTCACAGTGAGTACTTAAACTAGAATGGCTAAAACATGACTACATGCTACGGTCATGGGACCACCATCAAATATGCAGGCTGTTGTTGAACAGTGCATTACTACATTTTAAATCATCTCTAGGTTACTTATAATATCTAACGCAGTGTAAGACAATGTAAATAGTTGTTATACTGCATCATTCAATGACAACAGGGAAAAATCTGTACTTTTTCAGTACAGATTTTTTCCAAATATTTTTGATCCATGATTGGTTGAATCCATGATTGCAGAATCCAAAGAAGTGAAACCTATGGATGATATATGGAAGTTAACTATATTATCTCACATCTTCAAACAACTTTATGAGGTTATATTATCTCTATTTTATTGATGAGGCAACTGTGAGTTTAGCTTGTTTTTAAGGTCATGTTGCCAGTTAAGTGACGGAATTAGGCTTCAAATGCAGGGTACTTTAGCTCCAAGGCAAGTATACCACATTACCATGCTGTCTTCCATTTAATTCCATAAATTCCTCAAATTTGCCAGTCAATAAATTATGTTGTGACACTGTCTTCCTCTTAGATAATATGGTATACCTTTTAATTATTGCCATTTAAGCGGTTTACTGAATGGCTAGTATGTCGTTTTGAGCACTATCCTAAGCTTGGGTCCCCTGTACCTAATAAGGTGGTAAGTAAAACACAGAAATTTTCTGACTTTATATTTATGGGCATGGTGGTACATGCCTATAATCCCAGCAACCTGAAAGGCTGAGGCAGGAAGATTGCAAATTTGAGGCCATCCTTGGCAATTTAGGGAGACTTATGTCTCAAAATAGAAAATTAATAGGGCTGAGGATGGGGCTCAGTGGTAGAGCATTCGCCCAGGATGTGTGAGGCCCTGGCTTCAATCCCCAGCACTGAAATAATTAGTTCATGAGCAAATTCTGTGTTCTTAAGCTACGTAATGCCATTAAAACTTAAGTTGACTGAGAATGGAGCCCTCACTTGTTCCTCATTAGATGTGAGATTAGCTGTTCTCTGTAGAATTTGTGTCAATTTGACTGTAAATAGGATAGAGGAACCCCATTTCAGAGAATTAGAGCTATATAAAAGATGGAAAATATGGAGTATTTGCCTACAGTTTATGAATTGTTAATACTTTGAAAAGAAAAAAATAAATATGTGTTTAGCCAAAAGTTTTTGTCAGCTGAGTTATTCCTGATCAACTAGAGTTAGAAATTATTTTTACAGGTTCTGGTGTTTAATGCATAATTTGCCTCTTGCTCTCTCTCTGGCTCACTTTATTTGGTCAGAAAATTAAACTGCCTAAATAGTTGATGATTTCAGAAATCTGTTTCTTTGCAAAGCATTAGATCTAATGTCAGGAAATGCAATTAAAACATATTATAATTAATATGTTTTATACCAGACTTCTGTTACATTTTCTCAGCTGAAGTGTTTATAGAGATAATATGTTATAGAACTTGCTGTGGAAAAAAAGTTTAAGAAAGACAAATGACTTAACTGCTTTCATTATCATTTTAGTCTAAGCCAGAAATTCAGTATGCACCACAGTTGGAGCAGGAACCTACAAATTTGAGAGAATCATCTCTAAGCAAAATGTCCTGTAAGTTTTATTTTAAATGGCTTGGATAAAAACATTAGTAGTCAAATCTGGTTATAGTAGGGTTGATTTTCCACCTGCATATTTCTAATTTACTAGGTCTGGGAGAGGATCAGAGAATTTGAGTTTCTACAAGTTCTATATTTTGCTGATGCTGTCATCTTGGGGACCACACTTGTGAACCCCTGTTTTTAAAACCTTTAGGTTGTTTCATTTTTTGAGTATGCACTAGTGAAATATTCTGGTATTTCCCAACAAATTAACCAAATATTAAAACTAACTATCTCCAAAGTATGAGTTCCTTATTCTATTCTATTCTATTTATATAATTTTTTTTAGTTGTAATTGGACACAATATCTTTATTTTATTTATTTATTTTTATGTGGTGCTAAGGCTCAAACCCAGGGCCTCACACATGCTAGGCAAGCACCCTACCACTGAGCTACAACCCCAGCCCATATAGTTTTATTTTCATATTAGAAGTGAATTTTGGGGCTGGGATTGTGGTAGAGTCCTTGCCTAACACATGCAAGGCCCTGGGTTCGATCCTCAGCACTACATAAAAATAAATAAATAAAATAAAGGTATTGTGTCCAACTAAAACTAAAAAATAAATTTTAAAAAAAAGTGAATTTAACTCATAGGATCATAAGACATCAAGTTAAAACACAGCTTCCTTTTTAAATTTTACAGACTACCAAGCCAGGCACATTCCTATAGTTCCAGGTACTCAAGAGTCTGAGGCAGGGGGATCACAAATTCAAGGCCAGCCTGAGCAACTTAGTGAGAATCTTTCTTTATTATAAAATAAAGTATAAAAAGGGTTGAGGATGTAGTTCAGTGGCAGAGCACCCCTTGATTTAATCCCCAGTACAAATAAATAAATAACCTTACTTTAAATGCTGATTTAATTAACTTCTGATTATATTGGCAGATAGGAACTGTGGACAATTATAGCACATAACATACACAAGACCATCTTTTAATTAGGCTAGAATAAACCAAATTCTGTCATTCAAGCCTACATGTAATTAAACAGCATCAATGTCAATAAGAATTTGAAAATAAGAAAACCTTTTATGTGGTAGAATAGCCATTTGGTTTTTGATGTACCAAAGGAACTTGCAAGCATATAAAATGTGTTAAGATTACACATATAAAAACTGTTGAATATCTGTGCAGTGAGTATATCTAGAGGTAAACATTTGAGACTAGCTTTTAGAATATAGGATGTAATAAATTTGTACTATTATTTCAGCAGATCTACAAATGAGAAGTGCTCAAGCACACAGGAACTATCTTGAGAATGGAGAAAGCGATGGCTTTTTAAGATGCCTCTCTCTGTATGTATGCCTCTTTTTGTGTACAGAAGATAAACTAAATGTTCTATTTTTTTTAATTGATGCATAGTTGTACAAATGTATGAGGTACAAAATGATATTTTGATATATGTATACATTGCATAATAATCAAATCAGTAATTAGCATACCACCTCAAATCTTTATCATTTCTTTGTGGTGAAACATTCAAAACCCTCTGTTCTAGCAATTTTAAAATGTATAATACATTATCATTAACTCTATGCAATAAAATGCCAGTACTTACTATAACTGTGTACCCCTTGACCAGCCTCTTCCTAGCTCCTCCTCTCCCATGTTACTTTAGTGAAATCCAAGCAGATTGTTTTGTTTTCCACAGTGTAAGAGCATTCTACTTGTTAGGATTCCTTGATTAATGTTAAAAAATGTGCTTCTCTAGATATTTAAATGAAGTTCTAATTTAAAATATGTCTGAATGGTTTTGGGATCTGATTTTGTTGTTGTTTTTATGTGAATGGCCAGATATGAGGCTAGAGGAGACAGATAAAGACTATAAGAAAGGCTTGGGCTGGGGATGTGGCTCAAGCGGTAGCGCGCTCGCCTGGCATGCATGGGCCCGGGTTCGATCCTCAGCACCACATACAAACAAAGATGTTGTGTCCGCCAAAAACTAAAAAATAAATATTAAAAAATTCTCTCTCTCTCTCTCTCAAAAAAAAAAAAAAAAAAGGCTTTGTATCCTACACTATGAAATGTCATCTCTAAGCCAGGGATTTTTAAGTATGACAAGGAAAACAGGAGACAGGAGTAAAGGGTACCTTATTCTTTCTTAGGAAGGACTGTTGAGCTTTCTGAGGGTAAGAAGAGGATTTTATCAAGTGTACATGCTTGCACTCCTCCAAGGCATTCTAATATGAGTCTTCTTATCTTCTCTCCTCCAAGGCATTCTAATATGAGTCTTCTTATCTTCTCTGCTGCCTTCCCCACAAAGGTTGGGGAGTGGGGGGGGTTGTGTCACAGTGGGCTATGTCACTTACTGATTGTTTTCTCCTGTGTCAGATACCAGACCAAGCACTTCTATACAAGTCTTAACAGGTCTGTTTCACAATGTGTACACTCTAATGGGCTGTTCTGTCTCAAATATAATGCTACAGTTGTTCAAACTGTGTGCTTCCTACAGTTTCTTAGCAGGTTTTATCACATATTAATAATGTTATATGGCACTTTAAATTAATACCTTTTCTAAACAAAATGTTTAAAGACTATGTAAGAAATGAGGGTTTAACTTTAAATTTCTTCTTCCTTTCATTTATAAACCTGCTTTTGACTTGTGCAAAAAAGAAAAAGACAGTTTTTCTCTTGCATTTATTTAGGTTGTTTTTGGTTTTCGGTTTATTATTTATTTTGCAGTTTTAAATTTGTAGAAACTTAAATAATTGCCTAATCTAAAATTATAATTGATTCTCAATAGTACATTACCTGGCATTTTTGCAGGGGGGTGGGGTGGGGGTAATGGAGATTGATCTTTGGGGTGCTTTACTCTACTGAGCTACCTTCCCAACCTTTTTTCTTTTTTATTTTGAGACAGAATCTCACTCAGTTGCTGAGGTTGGCCCTGAACTTAAGTTTTTTTCAGATAAAGTGTCTTCCTATTAAATGTATGAAGTATATTACTGTTTATGGAAGTCCAGGACTGTCACAAATTTGACCAAAATAGGCAGACAAGAACCAGACAGAAGTGGCAAAATAATCAAATATAATTTTCAGGAAGAAGCCTCTATGTGAAGGATAAATTAAAGGATCAGGCTGGAGAGCTTTGGTAAGTCAGCAAGAAATTACAAGGCCTGAACTAGGGCTGTTGATAAGCAGAACAGGAGATAACAGAGATAGTTGAGACTCTATGATGTAGGGATTTCTTTGTTATTGAGGTTGAGGAAGAAGATGAACTTTAAGATTAGCCCTGGTTTTCTTTTCTTCTCTTTTTTCCCCAGTATTAGAGATGGATCCTAGAGCCTCACATGTGCTATGTAAGCACTTTACCACTGATCTACATCCCTAACCTTTTTACTTTATTTTGAAAAAGGGTCTCACAAAGTTGCCATGGCTGGCTTCAGTCTTGGGATCCTCCTGCCTCAGTCTCCCGAGTAGCTGGGATTATTAGGTTTGTGCCTCCATGCCTGGCTGGGCCCCAGTTTTCTGTCTTTAACAAGTTGCTAGTGCAATCCAGTTATCAGGTGTATCCTCATTCATAGAAATAGATTCCGTAGTTCTCAGAGTAGGGCTGAATCATATAGAGAAAAGTAGGTGTTTTTTCCATTAAAAATATATCTTACTCTTTTTAAATTGGAATGCTTTAAGGCATAACAGTAAATTTCCCTGCTTTTTAATACAGTACATTCTCCAAAATCCACCTCTTTTGCTGGGAGACAATGTCTGGGTATACTATTTCTTTGGTATGTCCAAGAGTTGACAAACCATTAAGTGAATGGATTATGTTGGTAAGTACAGATATTTATTAGGTAGGATCTGATGAGCAGAAATGTGAAAAATTAGACTACCATATTGATACCCAAGTTTCTCCACTTCCTCTTGAAGGTGAGGTCTGCACAAGCTACAGGTCTCTGCAGTGGAGAAGTGTTGCATCTCTTAATGGCCATGCCTTCCAGTGTTGCAACAGACCCCAGCAGCTCACCATCAGTTTCTTCTTTCTGAGTTCTTGTCTTATGAATGGAAGAATGAAATCCATAGGCCAGGATGAATGAGTGTAAGATTTAGGCATGTAGGATTTATTGAAGAATAGAAATAAGAACAACTCCCACAAGTTGAGAGGGGACGGAAGAGAGTTGCCACCTAAGTGTACTAGTCTAGGGGTTTATGTAGCACTTGGGTCAACACTGTTGGTCCGAATTCATACTAATCAGGGTTTGGAAAAGTACTATTGATTCAAAATTATGCTACTTAAGAGTTTGGAAAAGTACTAATGATATTGGTTAGCCCTGAATCCCATTCAGGGTTGACTTACTTCCATTTTCTCACAAGTCACATATGCTCAGTGGGGGTGGGGGTAGGGTCTGGAGCTGCAGTGCTGTGTGGAGCTGGTGTCCACTGGGCAGTGCTGAGCTCTGGTGGGATGACAGGTCAGTACTCCTTGGCTCACCTGGGGCGTTGGTCTGTACCTCAGGCCCACCATGTGGTTGGTTCCTTGTGCCCAACCCCATGCTGTCTACCTGTGCTTAGGCCTGGCTCTACAGCTCCACCACTCTGCTGCTACGTCTTGGCAGGGACCAGTGGACTGATGCACAGCTTGGCAGCCAATAATATACAGTTTTTCAGAATGAGATTCTTTTCTTTCTTTCTTTTTTTTCCCCTCCATAGTGCTGGGATCAAACCTGGGGCCTCATGCATGGTAGGCAAGTGCTGTACCACGGAACTATAACCCCAGGCCCAGAATTAGATTCTTAAACATTAAAAAAAAAAAAAGCTTGACTTTTTCCTGTTCTTTGAATCTTTTTGTTTTATTTTATTTTAGGTACTGGAGATTGAACCCAAGGGTACTTAACCTTTGGGCCACATTCCCAGCCCTTTTTCTGTTTTATTTTGAGACAGGGTCTTGCTGAGTTGCGTAGAGCCTTAGCCTTCTGAGCTGCTGGGATTACAGGCCAGCACCTCTAGGCCCGGTTCTTTGAATTAAGTCAATTATGAAAAAAAAAATTCTATAGTAACTGATTCTCTTAACTTATCTCTGCCTAAAGATTTTTTAATCAAAATGAAAATACAACTGTCTCTTTATTATGGTATATCATAATGGTTACAAGGTGCCTCAGATGAGTTCTTTTAAATTCAAGAATAAGTAAATTGTAGCAGTTAAATATTTGAATTGTTATAGGTAAGCTGAATTTTGGAAGCCAGTTGTGAATCTGTAAAACAAATGATCATTTTTTAATTTACCTAATTCATAACTTTTTGAGATATTGAGTTTTCCTAAAGTATAATGTAATGCCTTGCAAAAAATAACATGTGACACTTAATATAATTAATTTTTCAACTTATAGGACACTTATTTGCCCTAGAAAGTATTATTAACAATAAAGTAGTTTAATTTTATGTATTTAGTGAAAAGTCAATGTGTTTGATTTTATTATTATCATCATTATTATATTTATGAAAGTTATGTAGCCATGCTACAGAAACTTTAGAAATGGAGGAAAGGACATCATATCACCCTAATGCACTAGTTGCTATTATAATGTTTCCTTCTATTAGCATGTTTTAAAAATACTTTTAGATAGTACACAAAGTCTTAATTATATTAATCAGGTAAGTATAAGGCTGCTTGCCTTTAATTATGTGAAGACTCTTTTGTTTTTTATTTTACCAAATTTTAATATGACCAATTGTTGATTTTTTTTTTTTTTTCCAGTAACTCTGGGTGGATTTTAACCATGACTCTTGTCCTTTCGGTGATGGTGTTGCTCTGGATTTGTTGTGCAGCTGTTGCTACAGCTGTAGAGCAGTATGTTCCCTCTGAGGTAAATTTAATTCTTACCCTTGGGCCATTTTAAGACTGAGCTATATGAAACCATTTTAAGTGCTTTATTTGTTTAACTAAAAAAAAAAAAAAAAACAAGGCTAACAGAATGAGAGAAGATTTGGTGGTTTTAATCTGGTTCAGGTTGGCACATATGAAAATTACAGGTTTGCAACACAAGAATCATTGTTCCTGGTTTTCTATGATGGTAACTACTGTGGTGACGTTAATGTTGATTGCCTTGAGCAAAGTGTCTCTTCCCAGTTCTCTGAGACTGAAAAGAACTATTAGCATTCAGTTTCTAAGGTGGCATAGAGATGACTTGTAGAACCACTTAAAATTTTAAATTAATTGCCACAAATGTTAAGGAGTAATTATTGCTTTAGAAGCAGTAAAACTAGGCTGTTTGATTCTGAGTTGTTGTGTTCTGTAGCTAACCCCTAGAGAGCAAATACTATTGTGACTTCCTTGGTAATTATAATTAAACTGACTCAGGAAATATAACTGCCAAGGTAAAGAATTTTTGTTTGGAGAAAATGCTATAATTTAAAACAAATAACCCAATCAATAAAATGGTCAAGGACCTGAAGAGACACTTCTCAGATGATGTACAATCAGTCAACAAATACATGAAAAAATGTTCATCATCAGTAGCAATTAGAGAAATGCAAATTAAAACCACTCTTAAGATTTCATCTCACTCCAGTCAGAATGGCAGCCATTATGCATACAAACAACAATAAGTGTTGGCAAGGATGTGGGGGAAAAGGAACACTCATACACTGCTAGTGGGACTGCAAATTGATGCAGCCAATATGGAAAGCAGTATGGAGATTTCTTGGAAAATTGGGAATGGAACCACCATTTGACCCAGCTGTCCCTCTCCTCGGTTTATACCCTAAGGACTTAAAAATAGCATACTACAGGGACACAGCCACATCAATGTTTATAGCAGCACAATTTACAGTTGCTAAACTATGGAACCAACCTAGATGCCCTTCAATGGATGAATGGATTAAAAAAAAGTGTGGCCTATATACACAATGGAATATTACTCAGCAATAAAAGAGAATAAAATCATGGCATTTGCAGGTAAATGGATGGAGTTAGAGAAGATAATACTAAGTGAAGTAAGCTGATCCCAAAAAAACAAATAAGGCTGATTTATAGTGGGGTAGGGAGCAGGAGCATGGGAGGATTAGATGAACCCTAGATAGGGCAGAGGGGTTGGAGGGGAAGGGAGGGGGTATGGGGTAATTAACGATGGTAGAATGTGATGATCATTACTATCCAAAGTACATGTATGAAGATACGAATTAGTGTGATTGTACTATGTATATAACCAGAGATATGAAAAATTGTGCTCTATATATGTAATAAGAATTGTAATGCATTCTGCTGTCATATATAAATAGAAAAATTTGCATTAAAAAATCTAAATATAAAAAAATGATGTAATTTGATGATTCAACTTAGCATTCAAGGAAAGAAAGTTATTTATATAACTATAAGGTAATGGTTTTTGACATCAGATCCAACTGAAATAAACTGGAGTTTTCTTCTATCTCCAAAGCACCATAGAAAGAGAGAAAAGAAGAAACGAGGGAAATTAAAATAAAATCTAATAGTCATTGGCATGGTTGAGTAGACACAGGTACCTAGAAAGTAGACTAGGATGGTGTTGATAACTAACATTTAAGTAGTTCTTATAACTCACAAAGTATTTTCATATATTTTGTATGTCAGTACAGTGTCCAGCAGTATTCTACAGCAGGTTTGATCATTCCATTTTATAGATGAATAAACAGGCTTACAGAGTCTAGGTGACCTTTCTGAGATCGCATAACTATGAAAGTGTTGATGCTGGAATGAAGTTTATGTCCTTAGATTAACTCCTGTATTTTTTACTGTATACCATCTTACTATGGCTGATAAGGTGTTTAGTTTAAGTGGCACAATAATAGTTGTATAAAGTGTTAAGGAAAGCAGAGAATGTGCTGTACTGTAAAAGAGGCTGTACTTCTCTAAGAAGATATATTTTCCAAAAAATGTGTGGAAAAAAATCCATTTGGATATATTACTTTTAGGCTTTAACTCTGTAGGTGAAACCATACTTGGCCTAGGTAATAATTTTAAGTACATTTTTTATTATAAAAGTATTGTAATAGTTTAGAAATTTACAAACTACATATTTAAAAAAGCAGGAAAGTCACTCATCGTATCTAGAATTTTGTGTTGCCCTTTTTTTTAGTATAAGTGATTTTTGATACATATTACTGTTTTTATTTCCTGTTTTAGAATATTGTAGTATAAATACTCTACCTCTTTTGGGGTATTTTCTCCTTTGTTCATTATAAAAATAATTTTACATTTTATGTAATGTTAGAGAAATTACTTAGATTTTCATGGCCAAAATCACTTACTTGGAGAAGTTCCCAGTGATCAAATTCCTTATGTGTGCTGATTTTTCTCTTGCAGAAGCTGAGTATCTATGGTGACTTGGAATTTGTGAATGAACAAAAGCTAAGCAGATATCCAGCTTCTTCTCTCGTGGTTGTTAGATCTAAAACTGAAGATCATGAAGAAGCAGGGCCTCTACCTACAAAAGTGAATCTTGCTCATTCAGAAATTTAAGCTTTGTTTTAAAAAGTGTCATAGACACTTAAATTTCCATTCTTCTAGAGCTTTTTAAAATGGTTTCATTGGACATAGCCTTAAGAAATCACTATAAATGCAAATAAAGTTACCCAAATCTGTGAAGACTGTATTTGCTGTAACTTTACCTGTATTTTTTTCCTAGTAATTTAAGACATGGATGTTTGGGGTTGTGTTTTTATTTTACTAATGTCTGTAGCTACTTTGTTAACTGCATTGAATTTTTCTTTTCTTTCTTAGCCAAATTCTACGAGCTGATCATTGTTCTTCCCCACCTCCTGCCACAATACTGTCAGTTCTCTTAGCTAATAAACTGACTACCTAGTAGGATGCTTCTGCTCAAAAATGGCCCACAAACCTGTAATTTGAAATTTAGCAGAAAATACTGTTTAATGACACTACATTTTCAGTTGTATTGAACTGAAATTATTAAAATTTTATTTGAATAATTATATGCTGAAATTTGAGTATCTGATTTGCTTGGTCTTCCCTCCTGCCCTCACCTAACCCAGAAAAGAATTATTAGGTGTTCCATGTCTACTGCTGTGTAAATAGGTAGCCAGGGTTGAAGCAAAAATGAGCCTCTCAGCAGTACATTTAACGTCATTTTGCCCGGGCTGTATGTTTTTGTTAGTGAGTCTTTCCAGAGAACTATCTGTTCTCCATCAGATAGTGTCAAGTATAAGGTAACAATATTTTCAGAGAAAAATTTTCATTTTGACACTAAGAGTTACACTCTTGTAGTACAGAATTAGGTATAAATTTCACTTGACAAAAATTAATATTACCATTCCTTTACCTACAGTAATACAAATGTAAAAATAGGAGTGCTATCAGATATAACAATATGTCAGAATCCAAATCTGATTCAGTATAGTTACACCACAAAATGTGGAATAATTTTGCGAACCAGTGCTTTGCTTAATCAGAGCATGACTGACAGTTACAGTGGTGCCGTTTGACCAGAGTGAGTCACACACTCACCCTACAACCTAGTCTTTAGATTTCTCTGAGTCAGAATACAGTTAAGCAGCTTATCAAGTAAGACTTCTGGTCACAAAATGCAGGCCTTGATTTTTTTAAATAGTTTGTCTAGATTTGGAAGATAGAGGGCTGGAAAGTTTTGAATACATCCAGATGAAGAAGAGAGGAGGGATTGCTAACTTGTCATTGCCAAGAAAACATTCCTTATTTTTGTGAGAAAACAGGGAATAGTTTTTGAGTTACTATTAAAAAAAATTTTTTTTTAAAGCAGGCAAGTTGTCATCTCTCCCATCCATAGTGTATACTTATATTTCTTAATCAGACACGGGTTTAATTGTAAAGCACCCAGTAAAGCAAACTAAGGGGAAAAACATACAGAAGTCAGAGAGCCCACTGTTAAGAAAGGCCTCCCTTATAAAAACAAAGCAATACGAAGAAATAGCTACATAGGAAGAAACCACTATACAATTGTCCCATATTCTTTCACTTCTCTCTTGAAAATGTTGATCCAAGATTGGGGGTGTAGCTCAGTGGTAGAGTGATTGCTCAGCATGCTTGAGGCCCTGGGTTCAGTCCCCAACACAGCAGAAAGTATCCAAGTTTAATCAAACCATTTCTACTCTCGTTTGTAAGAGATAATTCATTGTGTGTGAAAACATTCCTGATCATTATTAACCACTTAGATATTTGTCTCCTTTTACTTTTGGCATGATTAAACCAGACTGAGAATCTTCACCATCGTATATATCCACACAAAATTAGTAATTAAAAAATACCTATGGGTAAATGGCAGAAAGATCAATGGAAGGAAGGGAGTGGGGAGAGAAAGGGGAAGGAGAGGCACTGGGTCTGGATTAGACCAAGATATATTCCATGCTTTTATAATTATGTAAAAATGGACTCTACTATCATATATAACTGAAAATAACCAATAAAAATTTTTAAAACAAAAAAACTGACATTTTAAAAATTGGTTTCACTTAAAAAATTGTGAGCTGGAGATATATAGCTCAGTTGGTAGGTAGAGTGCTTGCCTCACATGCACAAGGCCCTGGGTTCAGTCCCCAGCACCACAAAAAAATAACAAATGCCCCCAAATGTATACAGCATAAAAATGTTTCTGATCTTGAGAGTCTCAACTGAAGCAATAAACTCCAGGCCCCTTCTGAGATAACAGTTTTGTCCTTTGACAGGTGCAATTTTACACAGCTCCTTCTTCCTATGAGGCGTTGTCTTCTCTCTGCCACACAGGAAGCATCTTCCTGATAATCTTGTCTCTGGCCTAAGCAAATTCTCCAGGCCCTTGAGTCTAGGTTCAGGTCTGTAATCCAAGAGACATACTAATTCAGGTGATTACCTAGAATGATGTAGGCCCAGGTTGCACATCTTTTTTTTTTTTTTTTTTTTTTTTTTTAAGTTGAAGATGAACACAATATCTTCATTTTTATTTATTTATTTTTATGTGGTGCTGAGGATCGAACCCAGGGCCTCATGCCTGCAAGACAAGCGTTCTACTACTGAGCTACAACCCCAGCCCTTGCACATCTTTTCACAGAACTTCCTGGGCACTCTTATGATACATTTTGGTAAATTAGGAATTACCAGATTATCAGGTTTATCAGTCTTATCTCAGATTCTTGGCAGTGCCTCCTTCATCAGGGAATCTGAGCACAGAAATTTGCTTTGGTATTTCAGCCAAAAACCAGCAATTTACCTTTTGTTGCTTGTCAGGCTTTATCTTAGAGAAGTGAACTGCTTCTATCAGGATTTTATTTTATTCTCTTCAGGGGAGCGGAACAGGGATTGAACCCAGGGGTGCTTAACCACTGAACCACATTTCTAGCCCTTTTTACTGTTTGAGACAGGGTCTCACTAAGTTGCTTTAGGCCTCACTAAGTTGCTAAGGCTGGCCTTGAACTTAAGATCCTTCTGCTTCAGCCTCCCTAGTCACCAAGATTACAGGCCTGTGCCACCACACCTAGTTTGGATTTTTAAAATTCATAAAATAACTCCATTTTAACTTATGTGGACTTGAGTTTTCAGGGATCACATTGGGGATAGTGATCTAGAGGTTTCTGGTTACCCTTACTACCACATCAAGGCAGTGATTTTGCCCAGACATTCTATTATAGATCCACAGTTAACCATGCAGCAACAAGTTGAGAGCCTGAGTACCAGGCCCTACACTAGGTGATAGGGTTGCAGTAAGGCCCAGTGCCTGACTCCAGATGCTCAGAGTTTAAGGAGAGAAATATTGTTATTAATATAAATCCCTAATTCCAGGAAAAAGTAAGCCAAGTTTGAACCTGGAGGGAGAGGGAAAGTCTGTTGAAATACAGGGAGCAGTATCCTAGGCAATGGGAACAGTAGGCTAAAGGGCTAGAGGCAAGGAGGTAGGGAACTGTGCATTGTAGACTTGAAATACAGCATAAAAAAGCATAGCAATAGATTGAGCTAGACAGATGAGATAATCAAGGATCTCTCTAAACCTGGTCTTGATCTTGAGCACAGTGGAGAGTCATTGCAAGGTATTTTTTTAAAAATTTTATTTGTATATGACAGCAGAATGCATTACAATTCTTATCACACATATGGAGCACAATTTTTCATATCTCTGGTATATTAAACAAGAGGGTAACAATGTTTCAGAATAATTCACTTGGACCATAATGTGGAAGATAGGGCATGGCAGCTCGCATATATAATCCTAGCAATTTGGGAGGCCGAGGCAGGATCCTAAGTTTAAGGCCAGCCTGTGCAACTTAGTGAAACCCTGTCTTAAAATAAATAATAAAAATTTGGGGGTTGTAGCTCAGTGACTCAGTGATAAAAATTCCCCAGTACTTGGGGCTGGGGTTGTGGCTCAGCGGTAGAGCACTCGCCTAGCATGTGCAAAGCTCTGGATTCAATGCTTAGCACCACATTAAAAAATAAAAATAAAAAAGATATTGTGTTCAACTACAACTAAAAAACAAATATTAAAAAAAAAATTCCCCAGTACTGAAAAAAAGAAAAACAAAAAAACTGTGGAAGATAGACCAAAGGGACAAGTCCAGAGATCAACAATGTTTTAGTCCCATAGTACTCCTTTTTTTTTTTAAATGCCTTTATTTTAATATCATTTATTTTACTGACTCCTCAGCCCTTTTTGTTGTTTGACACAGTGTCTCACTGAGTTGCTTCGAGCCTCACTAATTTTCTGAGGCTGACCTTGAATTTGCAATCCTCCTGCCTCAGCCTCCTGAGTTTTAACATGCACTGGCTATTTTACTAATACTTTAAAGTTCTTATCTATAAAGCTACTTTTCCCCTCACGTTGTTGTTTGGATGGTAACCCTAAGCCTGTTCTCTGTGTCTTGGTCACAGTCAGTGGTGCCAAGCAAATTGGGAAGTTTGCTCTATGGGCCCTGCTTCTCAGCAGACTGCTTCTTATTGGGCTAAATTTTTAAACTAAAATACTAGTCAGTGTCCCACCATCCTCTAATTCTAGGTTTGCTAGCCAGCCTCTATGAACTCAGTATGCTGCTAAGCTCTGCCTTCCAGGTGTCCAGTTTCTATGCATGTCCTGTTGTCATGTTTGAGTATCATCAGCTTGAGTTACCTTTTTAATCTCTTTCCTTGACTACTTGTTCTAGAATCTGGGGCAGAGGGATGTTAAGACGAAACGAATTTTATTAAAATATTTTCAAAAGTTTGTGATAGAGTAGTGTAGGCATTTTTTTATTGATATAAAATAAAATAAGGGGCAGTTCTAAAATTTACATAGTTTCAAAGTGACTTTAAATATGTGCAATGACTATAATTTAGCTGTCTGTGGTTTCTATTGATGAAGTCACAGGTACTACTGATACTGCTGTGGATTGCTGCCTACCTTCATAATTGAAAAAAATGTTATCTTCAGCTAGAAGTTGGTAAAAATAAAGGTTTTCTTTTCCCCCAACAAAACTCACTGAACCCCTGGTTTAGAGGTTGTCTGATTTTATTTTGTCATTGTAAGAGTCATTTATTTTTGTTTGCTTGATCAGTTCTAAATTATTTGGGCTATTTTCCTGCTTCTTTTTTTAATATTTATTTTTTAAGTGTGGTTGAACACAATGCCTTTGTTTAATTTATTTATTTTTATGTGGTACTGAGGATCAAACCCAAAGCCTCGCACATGCTAGGCGAGCGATCTACTGCTGAGCTACAACCCCAGCCCCTTTTCCTGCTTCTTATGTGCTTTTCTTACTTGTTTGTTGTTGTTTTTAATTTTTAGTTGTAGATGGACACAATATCTTTGTTTTTATTTATTTTTATGTGGGGCTGAGGATCGAACCCAGGGCCTCACGTGTTCGGGGCAAGCACTCTACTGCTGAACTGCAGCCCCAGCACACTTGGGTTTTTTGTTTTTTTTTTTGCAAAATTAGAATAGCAATAATTGAAGGAATGAAATCAGCAATTGATTGGAAATGAAAGGTTCCAGCAAAAG